TATCGTCCTCGAGTGGTCGTAGCAGCGGCTCGTTTCCACCTTTCCACGTTGCTCTTTTCCTTTGGAAAGACTCCTTTGGATCGACGCGAGGAAAGAATGGGATCGGCGTGTAACGATCCCCGCTCCCGCCGATCTATTAGGAAGAATAAGTATTCGATGCTTCTTCCGTTTCGATGCTTTCGATGCCGAGAATCGTTGCGGAGAACGGCCGCTTTTTCTTCTTCTTCTTTTTTTTCTTGTATGGGTTTTTTGCCAAGTTATCCCTTGGAAGTGAATACGTGATTGATTTTGCTACGCGTTTGTTATGGTACGAAATAGAGAATATTCTCTGTTCGTAGAATAGAAGGCACGTGGTTCAAACTTCTTCTTCAATTAACACGTTGACTGTCACGCCCGCCGTTGTATTAAGTGTATTCCAGTATTTCTACCGATATTTTAGTAATGTCTGATGGTCGAAAGGATCATGTCTCGCATCATTTGTTTCCATCATTCGCGTCCGCAATAGAAGATCAATTGTTATTGATAATAATAATTGTATTGGCAAGAGTATTGAATAGTAGTACTGATTTACATAGTATATTTTGAATATTTTAATTTGGATAGTTTGGATAATATTAATTTATTATATATAATTTATTGTATTATTATATTATAAATTATTATAGGGTGAGCAGATAATCATGTCAGAGCACGATATGTTCATAAACTATCTAATTGTCGTATCATCATGATCTGCAATAGAAGTATTGATAATAGTAATTGTATCGACAATAGTAGTACTAATTTTTATAATATATTTTGGATATTTTAATTTGGATAATATGACTGTCGAATGCCTTTCGACTAATCGTAAATATATTTCTTAGATTATTATATAAAAATTTATTATATTATTATATTATAAATTATTCGTGTGGCTCGTCTATTAGAGACCAGAGTGAGCAGATAATCATGTCCAATGGTCAGAACACGATGTGTTCATAAACTATCTAATTGTTGTATCACTATGATCCGCAATAGAAGTATTGATAATAGTAATTGTATCGACAATAGTAGTACTAATTTTTATAATATATTTTGGATATTTTAATTTGGATAATATGACTGTCGAATGCCTTTCGACTAATCGTAAATGTATTTCTTAGATTATTATATAAAAATTTATTATATTATTATATTATAAATTATTCCTGTGGTTCGTCTATTAGAGACCAGGGTGAACAGATAATCTACAATAGAAGTATTGGTAATAGTAATTGTATCGACAATTGATTTATATATATATTTTGAATATTTCAATTTGGATAATTTGGATTATAATTTAGATGATGTTCTTTGACTAACAAATATACTTCTTAGTTGTGAATTGTATATAAATTATTCGTGTGGCTTGTCTATTAGAGACCAGATAATCTGCAATAGAAGTATTGGTAATAGTAATTGTATCGACAATTGATTTATATAATATATTTTGAATATTTCAATTTGGATAATTTGGATTATAATTTAGATGATGTTCTTTGACTAACAAATATACTTCTTAGTTGTGAATTGTATATAAATTATTCGTGTAGCTTGTCTACTAGAATCACAGTAGGTAATCGTGTTCGATAGTCAGAGCACGATATGTTCATAAACTATCACCATGAGATTCGTGACACCCCAAAATTGGAAGATTTAGAGAATTATTAGCCGCAAAAGTATTAGACTGCATGCAAATTATGTTATTCAGATAAAAGATAATAACCAATCAAACGCAGGAATTTAAAAAAGACAGCAACTTTTTGTCCAAATTATCCGGATCAACCTCAACCTTTTGTATAGAATGTTTTAAAATGTTTTACATTAAAAATTATTTTTTTATTATTCTTATAACAATTTAATAATTTTATTACATCCTACAAAATATCTTTCCAAACACCTACGAAAATCATTCATAAGTATTCAAATGGGTGACGTGTTAATTAAATATAAACGTATGGATTTTTGGATGATGAGATTACGATACGATTATTCTCGAAATCAGTTCTTCGAGGAAGAGGTTTATATTCTGCGTAAATAAATTCTCCTCTCTCTCTCTTTCTCTCTCGTATGAAAAGTAATAACGGGAAATTTCACGAGAGTCGTAAAGATACCCGATTCGTTCTTCCATCCAGCGGTGTTACGGCCGTTGTGTCAACGGCAATTTACATGTCCCGGCGTTCTTGGTCGATGCACGCCACCGGGAACGAAATGGCGGCTGCCCCTCCGGGGGGAAAACGTCGAAAACTGAAGAAAGTTGGCTCGTAAAAGGGTCGAGTGCTCTTGGATGAAGCCGAGGGGTGGAGGAGGGGGGAAATGGAGGAAGAGAAAGAGGGAGAGAACGATTAGTCGGGGGGGAGGGAGGAGTGTTTCTGGATCTTTGTCGCGCCTATGAACGAAAACTTCTACTTTTCTTAGGCCAGAGCTAACTTGCCTCTCTTCCTCTCCTCTCCTCTTTTCTTGCTTACTAGTTTCCTTTATTCCGTTCAGAGTCTTCTTCTATTCGTTGCGTAGGTAACCGATCGAATGTCGGAGGAACTGTTCTCTCAGAGGCGTAAAAAAAGAAAGAAAGAAAGAGAGAAAAAGGGAAAGGATCCAGTTCATTGGCCAATATAAGAGAACGTAAAAAAGAGCACGGCTCGAGTTTCTTCCGACGGTCACCCTATACGGGAGATCGGCCTGTTAGGCGTTTTAGATTGTACTCGATGCAACGTGCGTGAGAGAGAGAGGGAGAGAGGGTGCTTAAGAAATGGGCTTATAATCGACTCGAAGAATCTGGTTCTCTTTTTGTTCTACTTTTCGAGTATCGAGGCATAGGAAATCTGAAAATGAATCGCGACCCGTTCCAAACTTATGAAAGATTCGCGCCGCGAATCGAGATAATAAATAATACAATATAATTTTAACCCCTTTACTTTCCCCTATGTTCCCCAAAAATTCGTATCGTAACTTCGAAAAAAAATCAAACGAAACAAGATTTGAAAGATTTTTAAACGAGTCAAGATTCATCTCGATAATAAAAATTTCGACCCGCCTTCGTCGAATAACATTTATCACGTTTCGATAAAGCAATAAAATATATATATATATATACACACAATCATCGATCTTTTCTCGAAACTGTATCTGTGGGATGGAAGCTCGTAAAAATTGTTGCAAAAATTTTAACAGAGATAACCCCTGTATTGTATTGGCTCTCGGGGGAAAAAAAGTAAAAAAAATAAAAAACGGTAGCGCATCTTCCGTTATAAATGTGCTTTTCGAAAAAAAGGAGGAAGAGAGAGACAGGAAAAAAGGAGAGTACGGGTGACATTGTTATACCTGGCATGGATGGAGAAAAAAAAGCTGGGGGCCGCTGCTTTCGAAAAATGTTCATTTCGCATGGTTGCGCAAGGGGCAGAGAGAGAGAGAGAGAGAGAGATAGAGAGAGAGAGGCACCCGCGATTCTGGGTCACTCGACCTCGTGTAATCCCTGTAACAGAGTCCGCCTGTGTGAAACGTGCCTGATCGCGAGATCGGCTCAACCCTTTCGCCCCGATGGAAACCACCTGGCCACCTGCCCTGGATTACGCGCAGTCATTGTTCCGTCCTCGATTTTCCTCCTGGAAGGATGATCGTTAGTGGAGACTGAAAAAATTGTTATTTTTTTTTTTTTTTTCCCCCCAAGTTGAATCGAATCGGTTCTTACGATGCTTTCGATAGATAGCATCGTAGTTGTCTTTCGAGATTGCTTTTTCCCGCGATCCGATCGATTTGATAGGGGTTGGAAACGAGGGAATTGGAAGGAATTGAAGTTTGGGGATCGGATTGAATTTCGAAGCGGAAGATATTTGCGGGTTCATCCTCGAACAGGAAATTATTACTCGTTGTACTTTGATAGAAGATTGTATTAAAAATTTTTTTATTATAACGTTTATTATTATTCCCAAAATGTTGCAAGCGATTGTGCTGTTGGAAAAATTATATCTGACCAAATCGTGAATCTTATGATTGAAGTCGAATGAAGATCGTTTCTTTGTGAATCATATAAATCGTCCAATACAACTCCAAATTTTTCTATACGAATGCAATTTACTATAAATTAAGAAAAGTGATTTGAATCTTACAATTAAAAAGATCGTCATGAATCAATCATATGCTTTTCCTTTAAACTTTCTTTCCATGAATTCAATTTACTATAAACTAAGAAAAATGATTTGTCGATTGCAGGTTAAATCTTTAAAATCAATTAATTACTTCTATCAATCCAATCATCATCCAATATGATTGCAAAAGTATTCTTTTAAATTTTCATGAATGAATTTATTAATTTAAATATACTATAATATATAGTATATATATTATATTACTAATTTAAATATACTAAATCATCCAAATATACTACCATAAATCAATCCAATCATCATCCAATATGATTGCAAAAGTATTCTTTTAAACTTTTATGAATGAATTTATTAATTTAAATATACTATAATATATAGTATATATATTATATTACTAATTTAAATATACTAAATCATCCAAATATACTACCATAAATCAATCCAATATGATTGCAAAAATATTCTTTTAAACTTTTATGAATGAATTTATTAATTTAAATATACTAAATCATCCAAATATACTACCATAAATCAATCCAATATGATTGCAAAAATATTCTTTTAAACTTTTATGAATGAATTTATTAATTTAAATATACTATAATATATAATATATTATATTATACTATAATATATAATATATATATTATATTACTAATTTAAATATACTAAATATACTAATAAAATAAGAAAGATAGTTTGATTGTCAGTTGTTTGTTGAACAATGAATCTCTTTCCAAGAATACAATTTACTATAAATCTTTATGGACCAATGGTATAAATAATCCAATATGATCACCTTGCACTCACTTTTAAACTTCCTTCCCATTTCAAGTGTTATTTACACAGCACTAAGAGAAGTGGTTTCGGTTGCAGGGTGTTTGTTGGACAATTCGGCGCCGCGGGGCCCGCCCGATGTGCCTCCGCGTAATCCTACAATGAGTCGCGTCAACGGAAGATTGCCAGGAAGTCACGCAGCCAGCGACCACGAGCGTGATCCCGACCTCCAGCCATCCTGCCTCGTACGCACCTCATCCGGCGGCTTTTACAGTATACCAAGTGAGTGTCTAAGGGTTGTGTGTCCAGTGATTGCTCGGTGGTGGAAAAGACGGTGCTCGAAAGATATTCCTATCTCGAAAATTGTTGACCATTCGTGCGTATTTAATTCTGCTCGAATGCATAAAAGTATTAATTGAATAATTGGGTAGATTTGGAGATCGGTAATTAATTCAAGTGATTGGTAAAAGCAGTGGATTATTAGGTTCTATATACTTTCTGAGAAAGTATATAGTGAATTCCATTGATTGGCTTCTGGATCTATCACATTGAAATTAAAGTCGAGAGTCAGCGTCTGCGATATTTTTTTTTTTGGTGATTTTTATTATTGAGGAATCTCAAATGATATAAAGAAAATATTCTACTGATTTCCAGAGAAAGATGGTACGATAACTCCAGTCGCTTCATGTGTACAAAATTGTTGATCATTCGTGCGTATTTAATTCTGTTCGAACGCATAAAAATATTAATTGAATAATTAAATAGATTTGGAGATCGGTAATTAATTTAAGTGATTGGTAAAAGCAGTGAATCGATTATTAGATTCTATAATATATACTTTCTGAGAACGTGAATTCCACTGATTGGCTTCTGGATTTTCAACTATCGTATTGAAATAATTGCAAAAATCTGTACAATACAGAAAGATTATCAATGGCTGCCATATTTTATTTTTTTTTTGGTGATTTTTATTATTGATGAATCTCAAATAATGGTACGATACTTTCTGAGAACGTGAATTCCATTGATTGGCTTCTGGATCTTTCAACTATCACATTGAAATTAAACTCGAGAAAGATCGTCAGCGTCTACGATATTTTTTTTTTTTTTTTGATTTTTATTATTGATGAATCTCAAATGATGGTACGATACTTTCTGAGAACGTGAATTCCATTGATTGGCTTCTGGATCTTTCAACTATCGCATTGAAATTAACTCTTACAAAAATCTATACAATACAGAAAGATTAGCTGTGATTTTTATTATTGAGGAATCTCAAATGCTACTGATTTCCAGAGAAAGATAACTCCAGTCGCTCGTCATGTGTACAATACGCATACAATTTTATGGAAAGAGTTAAAATCGCGGAAAGGGTTAAAATCGCAATACATAATGTATCTTCCCCTCTCCATTTTGTAAATTTTAACGTAGATCCTCGATTTCTTATGCAAATGTCGAAGGAATATCCTTTTTTTGCGACGACGAATTCTAAATCCAGAGTTGTTATTTATCGTATCGCCAGAGAACCAATATCATTTAAGGGGAAAAAATCTTCGAGCGGAGAAGAACCCTTAAACTCGGACGAATTTCAAGACGTTAAACGTATGCAAACACGGACGAAATCGGCCACGATCCCCGTTCAAACACGAGGACCGCTGTAAAGCAAGAGGTGTAAAAAGTCGTGGAAAAGCGAGAGTTGAGAGCCACTGTATATCAAACAGAATCCTTATCTATCTATCTCCTCTCCGAATATTTGTTTCTCAAACACTTTTTAACCGAGATAGCACTTTCCCGTGGAAAAAGTCTATCTGTCCTGGATCCTGGAAAATCGAATCGATTATTTACCAGGATGGACAAAACAAGAATACGAATGCTTTGACTTTCCACGAAAAGTGGAAAAGCGATTGTTGGATGTGTGTCGAACGATAACGCGGAGGATTCCCTAATAAAGAAGGCTTCTTTGGAAGAGGGAGAGAAAGTTGACTGACGTTTCTGACAAGGGTAGTGCACGCTGTAATCGATGCGATAATTTTCCAAAACTTGGCCTTCGATATCTTATCCGTCAGAGAGGACCGTTATGAAGTATTCCAAGAACAGTTCCAAAGTTTTCGTTTTGTTTATTGAAATTCTTTCGAAACGATTGATTCATCTTCTGCCGGAAATCGAAAAATTCTAAGATGGTGAGATAAATATTTGAATATTCTAAGAAGTATTTTCTTTTTTCTCTTCTTTCTTATTTATCGAAATAAAAATGTCACATTTAAAGATTTATCTTGGAAAAGCATTCGTTAAAAAAATTAAAATCTCCATTATTTGTGAAAAGAGAGGTCTCAGAAATTTCCAAATTCTTTCCAAATTAAAAATTCACGAAACTATTATTTAGCATTTATTTTTTATTATTTAGTTCTCGAGAAACATTGTCTCCTTTTCCGATTTATCATCACCGACCGCCATTATTATCCCCAATAACCGTCCATCGAACGAAAAGCTGATAAAACCACCCTTTGAGGGGCCGAGCCTCTTCTAAGTCTCTCTCGAGATGCTTAGAATTTACCAGAAACGATAAAATGCCTTGTCTCGATGTTTTAAACAGCAGTTGAATGGACCGAAGAGAGTCCATAGAAGCACGCAGTGGAAGAAGAAGACGCTGTTGGAGACGCCTGGAGTCCACAGCGGGGGTATCGGTTGTGGGGGGAAAACAAAACGAGGTCGAAATCCAAGCTTCTTGACGTTTCTCGAGTACACTGATGGAAAAGCCACCGATACAAGAAGGAATTTTCCTCCTCCTTTTCCAACCTTTTTACCAAGGGAAGACTGGAAAAAATTTTCCATGGCTCGAGAAACGACTCTGCACCTTTTAAACGTTCCCTTGTTAATCTTGAAAGCCTGTGCGGCGCTTTCGAAAGCGTGGGACGGTTTCGGCCGGTGATTTACGACCCCTCTCGACTCATTGACCCACGGTTATGACACTGGCTGACGCTTATAACCTTCCAACAGAATACCAGAGTGGAGTGAACCACTCCACCTAAGATCGATCCTTGCCACGCTCTTCCTTTTATTCTTCCCCCATTGGCTTCTTCTTGCCATCGACCGCCAATCTTTCACCGAAACATCTTTTGTCGCTGCTTCAGGATCGGCGTGTCGTTCGGCTGTTTGCAAAATTTCTATCCCCTCGTCCATCTTCCGCTCCTCTGCGATCGAGAAGAAAGAACGCGTATAAAAATATCCAGATACCTTTCGCAAGATTTAAACAAAAAAGTTTGAAATAACCTGCGTTCCATCCATTAAAAAATTTTTAATTTAACTGATCATTAAATTCTATAATATAATATAATAATAAGAATTTAAATTAATTTTTCTTTATATAAATATGATTCCAATTGATCTTCTTGGTCACGTTTTCACGTCCCCCGTTGCTTTCGTAATTTTTAAACAGAGGTAACGAGTGAAAGAATCGTGGTGATTC